TCTATGAGTCTATAAATCCAACCCTAAAGGCTGCTCCCCTTTGCAGGGAAAGGGCTGCCCTGGGAGCAGGCTAATCGGGCAGCTGGGCTCGGGGGAACCAGGTCGTACCTGTTGTTACCTGGCTCTGTCTGGAAGGGGAAGGGAAAAGGGGTCCTCAGAGGACCGGTTGGTCGTCGGGGCCTCAGGGAGCTTGAAAGTGATGCGGAACTCACCGACATACATCATGAGGTTGGGAGGCAGGGTTACACTAAAGGGAAAGGAGCTTAAAACAATCAAGGCTATTCATGGGGGAAGGACAAGTCCCTCCCCCACCTTAATCAGCCTCTGAGAGTGACTACAGGGGATTGGGGAGAAGGAGCTCCTTCAGCAAGTGTGGTTTCTGCAGAATCACGCCTCAGCCCTAGTACTTGGGAGGGCAGAGTGGTTAAGCTCTGTCACTCCACAGCTGTGTGGCCTTGGGCAGGTTACTTAACCTCTCTGTGCCTTGGTTGCTTTAGTCATCGATGGGGCCAGTAGTAATGGTGATGTGCTTCACAGGGTTGCAGTGAGGATATATGAGTAAATAACAAAGTGTTATTGGATACTGGGACAGTGCCTGGCACACAGTGAACACTGACTTTGCGCTGAAAATTATTCCCAGGGAAAGTTCCCAAGGCTAAATAAATCAGGGAAACACGGAGTTTGAGACAGATAGCCTCCTTCACTGCAAAGCTTCCTAAAATAGCAGTATGAATAATAATGATGATACACACCTCTAAAGCTGGAAGGATTAAATGAGATAAAGAATGTAGGAGACCCTCAGCTCCCCATGCACATAATGGGTATGTAAGAAATGTTAGCGATGAGGTTGTTAGTAAGCATTGTGGATCTTTAAGAGAAGGAGAAGTGTCTTTCAAACTTGTGCTCTTTTTCTACAGGGCATCTTAACGAATGATCCAGGAAACACTCTGGGAAAAAAAATCACAGAGCAGGGTGGCCAGACGTCTTCCTACTCTGTTGCCAAAGGACTCAAGAAGAGGAACCTGTACAGGGCGCGAGCAGCAGGGACTCGGTCCTCGGGAGCGTTGTCTTGCTGGAGGGGGCGGGCTGGGGAATCGTCTCCTCCAGCCCCCACACGCCGTGCGGGGTGGGGTGCCTGTGGAAGGGGCACGGTCTGGGACCCACAAGAGCTGATTCGACTGGACCCTGCCACTCCCTAGCGGGGTGAGCCCAGATAAGTCACGGTGCCGCTTGGAGCCTTGTATCTTTCTCTGTATCGTCACGGGAGGGGGGCTATAAACTTGAGAATTCCTAAACTCCCTTCTGGATCCAGGATTCTGTTTATGTGCCCATCTGTCACAATGGGGGAGACAAGAGAAAAGGGAATTGCGTCTAAGCCGTGGTGACTTCTACCCATGATCCCAGATGCTACATTTATTTGCAGTGGTTTCCGTGGAGGTTCTAATCCCTGCTACTCACTCAGCCACGGTAGTCGGGTAGTCCGTGTGGATTGAGGATGTGAACAGAGAGAAAGGGGAAAGTGGCCCCAACCGCACCTGTTAAGGGGTCCGGGAGAGAGAAATGAAGACTTGGTCCTCACGTTAACCCCTTCTGTGTCTGAAAAGACCATGAAACCCGCTCTGCCAAATGGACAAATTTTTAAAAGAAATCTGGGGACCATATTGCGTAGTTTCCAAAATAAACGTCAGGCCCACGATGCTGGAAAGGGTTTCTTGTGGCACCAGGTAGAAGACGCAGTCTCGGCATCAGGACGCGGAAGCTGACATCACGATTTTGGGGGAAAATGCAGTTGGTTTAGGGGTGACAAGGGACAGAACAGCTGAAAACAGGAGTGTCCCTCACGCCCCGGGCCTTCTCTTCCTCTCTACATCAGTACGTTCTCCGCAGCGGGAGCGTTGATCTTTCCACAGCAATAGAGACGGCAAACTTCACCCTCGGCGTTCCCACAGTGAACAGAAAAGCCATACTGGGGGCTCCCAATCAGGCCCAACCCTGCCATCTCCTCCCTCCCCTCCAGGCTTCACTGTGAGACTTCCAGCCACTAAACTGACAGCAGAGGAACACCTTCCCCCATTAAACTTACTAAGCCGCTAAGAAACATAAATGACCTGCTTGGAATTTGTATCCACAACCGTGTTCCTAGAGTGTGAACTTCTCACCAAAATAGCCAACAGAGGAGCACCTCCCCAGGTTACAGGCTGAGCACCAGCCCGGCCCTTTGTCCTGCTTCAGTTCCTGATTTCCTGCGGTCTATTGTCTCTCTGATAAGTGCTGACAGAGGGAAGGGTATTATTCAATTGCTTTAAAGATATCAAACAAGCCAGAGCCAGGGTTATCTCCTCCCCACTCCAGGGGTTTTCCTGGCTCAAGGTTCTGTTACTTAGTTACTAACTGAGCTGCAGAAAAGTAGAGGCAGCCTGGGGGTGGGGGTGGGGGTGGGGGGCAGTGCAGACTTCATTCAGCCGATGGGGGGTGTGGGGAGAGTCGAAACAATAGCCATTAGGAGTCAAACAGGGAACAGGAGCCTCAGGGTTGCTGGTGAGTACAGGTGGCCGCAAAGCCAAGCAGGTCTTTGGAGGCATTCAAAGCCGCCAGGGGGAGGCATCTGTTATCTAGACAAAATCAACAATCCTTCTTGATTACCCGTTTTCTGCTGTCAAGGTCAATGCTATTCAGTCCCCATTCACTGCCCTGCAGAAGAGACAGGTGCACCTGAGATGGATCGCACCAGTATTCTTTCCAGACGTAGGCACTTTTCACCTGACTTAGGCAAGGAGAGGAAACGTCACAGGAAAAGGACAGGAAGGGGCATTTCCCTGGTCCACCTCCAGGATAAAGAACACCGTTGGAGGAGGTAAGTCACCGGAATGTTACTGCCTGTTGACCCGCAAGCCGCCCTCAGGCCATTGGAGGCCCATTACCTCCTTCCCTGTTCTTGGCATGTACATTCCACCCACCGTTCCAGTACTAGGAGCCACTTCGAGGACGCAGCTTTGAGAATAATGTGTCATCGGAGGCCATCCGGCCTTTAAAGCCGCTATATAAACCTAAAAGGTTTTCCACCACAGGTGCAGAGATGTACTCATCTTGCAGTACCTAAGACAAGGCTCCTAAGTAAATTCTGTTGCTTCCTAAAACCACCACCTACCACACTAGGGTGGCCTGCCTGTTTCTGTCCTCCATGTACAGGGACCAGTTTCAGATATCACCCAGAGAACTCCGAGGTTGCAAACCAGCAAGCCCACAGAACCACCCAAGCAGCCTTGAAAGAAGACATCTTGATCTTCCGGAAGCGGCCCACTCTTGATGGTATCGTACTCATCACGCTAAAATAGAAGTAAAAACAAACCAAGCATTGTCCCATCAGGGTCACTTCATGGGGAGGAGGATTGGGGAGTCAAAGGCCAGTGGTTCATTTCTTGTGTAGGTTACAAAACTGTGCTTACTAAAAAAGAAAAAAAAAAAAAAGACGTGTTTAAGACTTTCGAAAAGGTAACATGATCACAAGGAAAGACATCTGAGAGTGGAGTGGGCACTTTGAATGTCTTGCTTTTCCTAGAAGCCTGGTGGATCACTGGTTTTACACTCAAGATGACAACAGGTATGGCAGCAGTAACCCTGTACCCCAAGGCTGCAGAGTTCTGAGCCCAGTTCCACTCTGCCCTCCTGGTACTCTCACCACCCCATCTTTCAGCCGCCCATGAGCAGGGGCACACCCCTCTAGTGAGCGACCCACCCCAGCCCCTCTGCTCTACACAGAGGGATCTAAAGAGAAGCTGGTTCCCAGATGGCTTAGAACATGAGGCAGGCACTGGCTCAAATTCTGTCTAGCACCTAAGCTCCAGGATGAGGGATGCGAGCCCCATCATAACCAACATCTCAGAAAGAGACAAAGTCAACGAAAAGCCCTGATCCCCACTTCCAGCAGAGGGTATCCCAAGACCCAACATGGCCTAGAGAGAAATGTGCCGCTGACTGCTACCTTCTCTGGTGGTTTCTTTCCTGGGTCCCTCACCCATCTCTAGGGCTCACCCTCCCTGCTAAGCAGCGTCTGGACTTTCACTTTTAACTGGTGAACTTGGACATCAGATAATACGGTGGACAGTCCAAGGCAGCACAGCCTATCGAGAATACTGTAATAGCTGTTTGCTTTCCGGTTCCCCATCTTCTAAAAGTGGACCCAGGCTAGCGGAGTGCATTCATGTACTTGGAGGAGGTTGAGGAAGGAGAGGCCCCAGGATTATGACTTATTAATCTATCGGTACAGAGGCTGAATCATTGCAGTAAAAAACGAGATCGCTTTGACTGGGGCGATTCAACTCCCACTTCCTGCATGTCCCCCTTTGCTCGCACACCGCACGCAGCAGGGGAGCTGAGCTGAGTCCATCGAGCAGGTGCTGACCAACAGGCTTACAAAGCCCCGGGACCGGCCGTATGGTCGCTGCCCCTCTGAGCAAGGACAGCTGGGAGAGGGCAGGAGTCGCTGCTCTGCTGAGCCTCTGGCGCTCCTTGAACCCAATTCTGGAACCCAAGTGAGGGCTGGATCACTGGGTGGGCGGGGAGGAGTGCCGGCCACTGCATGGAGAAAGGTTTTCCCCCCAAACCCACTTCCTCCACTTTCTCCCTTCTCTCTCCCTTGTCCTGGAGCCTGGGATGACCCAAGGCAGTCACAGCTTTGCCAACCTGTCTGCCGGAAGAGATGGCAGGGGTCCCCACGCGAGTCTGCATCCCCGGGGCCGCCACCCCAGCTGCCTGGAATCTGCTGGGTGAAACACACCCGACTCCGTGAAAGCGGTAAGAGGGAAAGCAGCGTGTGTCCCTGCCGCGAGGCGGAGATCGGGGACCCTTCGCGCCCCCGGCGCCTGTGAGCTCCGCCCGCAGCCCCCGGCGGATTCTCCGCGGCTCAGCACCCGTCCTCCTACGGCCCGGAGGGCGGAGCGAGGCTGCTGTGACGTAACGGGGGGGGTGGCGTGGGGAAATGTGCCGAGGGGCCGGGGCTCCGCGGGGCCAGTCCCGGCGACGCAGCCACCCGTGCGCGAGCGGTCGCTCGGCCACCCGCTCCCCAGCCCCAGTCCGCGCTCGGCGCCGGGGGTCTGCGGGCCGTTCGGGCTCCGGGCGGCGCACGGGGCCGGCGGGAGCCGGCAGCGCAGGACGCCGAGCTCCAGGTGCCCGGCTAGCGGCTGCGCGCCCGGGTACCGGCTGGGTTGGGGACTGTCGCTGGGTGCTGAGCTAGTGGATTGCAGCGGAAAATCAAAGGTGAGGCGTGTGAGAGTATGTGTATGTGTGTGTGCGCGTGCGAGTGTATTGTGTGTGAGAGAGAGACGTACTTGGGCACCTGGGTGGATCTGCGCTGCATGGTGGCTCGCACCTCAGTGTGCCCGAGAGTAGGTCCCAGTGTGGGGTTCTCTGCCCTGTGCCTTTTGGAGGATGATTTTTGTGGCAAGGAAGGAGAGCGGCTGTCCCGCCATGAGTGGGGGCTCTGGGTCATGTGTGCAGGAATGGATGTGTTCACACCACCGCAGGCTGGTGCCCCTGGCATGCGCCCTTATCCAGTCCTCGTCCCCCAGCCGGCTGCTCCAGGAGGTAGCTGCGACAGGGACAACTTCTCTCCCAGCCACCTGCAAAGAAGCCTCCACGCGAAGAGAGCCAGGCTACTGGGGCGGGGAGGGGTCTGTCCCTTCTGGGGGCTTCTGTGGGCGTGCATCCCGAGATCCGAGCCTGGGAGGGGCAGGTGGCGGAGCAGAGAAAAGGGAGCACTTCTCCGTCCTTTCTTTCCCCCCAGGGAGACGGATGCCGAATGGTCTGGGGTCCGCTCCCCCAGCGCTCAGAAGGAGAGGACAGTTTGCCTATGTTTGGAAAGCATGAATCCCTGAGTGGCCTGCGCCCCCGAGGCACTGGCTAAGTCCCCAGGCAGCTGTCCCCCCGCTCCCAGCGGTCCCTGATGTCTCGCCACCCCCTCCCTGCGTTTAGAAACTGGGGTGCTGGCGCAGCCGTCTTTTTAATCTCCCCTATCGTCCTCCTGGAAATAGGGAATTCTTTAGGAAACCCTTTGATCTTAGAACCATCAAGTTGGATGATGAGAATTTTCTGTGCCAGTCCTGAGAACCGAACAGGCTGTCCTGAGCCTCACCTCTCCCCCATGCCCTTCGCCAGTGCTGCTTGGGCTTTTCTTAGGCACTGGAGCCCCCACCCCCCACCCCCCACCCCATGGTGGCCTGCACCTGGCTATTGTCTCTCCCGCCAGTGGGGCTCGGCTCTGGGGGTGGTGAGACCTACTGGGTTCAGCAGGCCACTGGATAAGTGGCGGTGGGGAATGAATGGAGTGGATGAGGGCTGCGGGGGTGGAATGCTGGGGAGAAAGGAGAACTAAAGGTGAAGAGGATTTAGCATGGTTCCCGATGCCCAGTCCCCATGCTCAGTTCTTAGGCTCTGGGAAAAGGAAGGGATGCTCCAGACCATTCTCACCCTCCTCTCCAGCACAGCCCAGACTCCGTCTCAGAGAAAACCAACAACCAGCCATTTCCAGGGTCTGTAACTCTTGGGCTGGAAAAATAAAGCAAGCAGAAACCCAAACTTCCTTGTGCATTTAATCGAACCACAATCCAACAAGTATTGATTGCCTGACATGGGGCTCCACTTTCACTGGGACCCAAATGAAGCAGAAGTCACTCGGAGACCTGAGGCAGCAGGCTTCACTGTTAATGAAATCAGAGTCACTGTGATTTAAAATCATTCCTTCCTTGAAGGAGCCTCCCCACTCTAGACTGGCTCCCCAGCTTACCTCCTCTCCCACCTTCACCGAGCTCTGCCCGCTGTCTGTGGTTGCTTTCTAGCCTGCTTAGAAAAACATTGACCCCATGCAGTTCCAAGCCACTGACTGAGACTCCAGCCAAAAAGGCAGAATTAGGGCTGGAGGTCAGCGTTTGACTCTCCCCCACCCGCCTGCACCATCATCAGCCCCATCCCCAAAGCTCTAGACAGAGTTTCTGCCACCCAGGGGTCTTCAGACTCACCCTGACTTTGGAGTGTGACCTTGCACGTTACATAGACAGTACCCTGGAAATGCTAGTGGTTGATGTACTGTCCAGTGCAGGTGGCTTCAGTGGGATTCTGGGTCTATAGAATTAAAGTACCCCTAAGACCGAAAAATGGTGGAAACAACCCAAAGTGATCAAGGGATACCAAAAATGGTTCCTTTACAACTTTTTTTTTTTTTTTGAGAGCTGCCGGATTTTGCTTTTTACCCAATGCAGACATTATATCCTGGGTCCCCAAAGTACTTAGCAGAAAGGTCAGCCACAAAGCCCAGACCCCACTTTACAGACAATCTTCTGGTAGGGAAATGAGCACAGAGAGGATAAACAGTGCACCTGGCAGTGCAGAATGAATCAGAGGCAAAGGTAGGCAAGGGTCCTCGAGTAGTTGTTGCTGATGAAGGCCCCCCTAGCTAATTAGCAGTCTCTCCCAGCATAAAGGAGCCATCTCCAATCTTCACTCAGGCACGGGGCGGGGGGGGGGGGGGGGGGAATGCCCTGCTCAGGAGAAATGTGTCCGCCGGGTGAATTATTCCCACTACGTGCTGAGCACGCCACCCTTTACCATCTTCTCTATTCCTGGAATGACCTCCTTCCTGCCCTCCCTGCTTCACTCTTCATATACTCAAGACCCAGCCCAAACCCTCCTTTTATGAAGGGTTCTCTGAATTCTCCAGGAAAGGAGGGCATCCTCAAGCCCTGGGTTCATTTCTCCACAAAATTCACACCCTAGATGAGCTGGCTTCCTCTGCCTGTCTCCCCTCCTAAATTGGGACCTACAGGAGGTCACCAGCCTCTTTCATGCCTATATCCCCGGTATGCAGAACAAAGAAGTCCCCCAGCCCTGGTTTTTGCATGACAATAGATAAATCCTTTACTTAAGTGATAAGCTATTGTTTCAGATCTTAAGCCAAGCCGGTAGTGTTACAAATACTTTCCCAGCATGATGGTAAAACAGGAGTCAGCTGTTTTAAACCAAAGCCCAATTATCAGTCTCTCAGTTTTCCAGCCCACTGAGCAGCGGATAGGATACTGCAAAAAGTGCAGTAGGGTCGGGTGTCCTATGTTTAAATCTCAGTTCTACCTGTTATATACAGGGGACGGAAGCAAATTACTTCAACTCCCTAAGCCTCAGTTTCTCATCTGCAAAATGGGGATGGTTATCCCACTTCCACTGGGAAGATCAAGGGGATAATGAGTGTGAATGAGTTACTGTGGTGTTTGGGATTCACTTCTGTGAATGAGCCTGCCTCCCTCATGCCTGGCTCCTGTATTCCTCCTTCATGGGGGATCCCAGGCAAATCCTCTGGGGTGCTAGAAGAGGAGCGTTCTGGGGCAGCATCTCCCTGAGGGACCCTCTGAGGCATGTGGAGGTTAAGCGCTGGGGACTGGAGAAATGCGAACAGAAGAATCAAAATAAACTAAATCTACATTTTAAATATAAAGGCCAGCCAGACTTTCATTTTTAATATTTAGGACCATAGATTTGGTCATTCTGTGGGCAGCTTTCCGCTGATTACAGATACACGAGATGGCACAGGAGAAAGGGGGGGCAGGTAAGATTGGCTGAGTCCCGAGTATGAGCCCAGCACAACGCTAGGTGCTTCCACACGGATCTCATGCCTCAACCTTCCAGATGCCGCCATTGTCACCAGTGGGAGTCAGTGTGGTTAGGTGCCGGGCACGAGGTCATACGGGCTTCCTGGTGGAACCCTGGTTTGTTTTACCTCTAAAGTCTGGGGTTTTTCCACTCTGGGGTTTCCAGAATGGAAAGACTCCAAAGCAGTCAGCAAGTCCGCGGAGACGTCCTCGTGGGGAGCAGGCAGGGAATGCTGGTATCAGATCTTTCTGAGTCAGGGGCTGGACTCCACATTCTGCCTTTTTACAGTCTGTTCCAGTCAACTTCTTAGGAATCAAAGGACAAATTTTGTTTTTTATCTTTTAGTTTTGTATTGGGGGTTTTCTTTGTGGGGGGCATTGTTTGTTTATTTTTTTGCAGCCACAGCCATCTCCCACATGTGCGTCACCAAAGATGACAAGATAAACTGTGATGATTTAACCCAAACCCCTCCCCCCACCTCCCGTTGGAAAAACAACTCAAAAAGTCTGCACACTGATGAGAATGGGCCGGTAGCTCTAATGCTCAAATAGACAGAAAACACACTTTTCAACTGAAGAATCTGTCTGAGAAGGTAAACCAGAAACACAGAAGGCTGGGGAAAGCTTAAGTAGCCTCTGACTGATGGCCCCATCTTCCTTTTTCCCTTGCAGATGTCACAGTGGATCCTTTGCCTCCAGGACACATTAAGGTGAGAATACGATCTCTGACTGTCTGGAACTAGCCTGAGACTGTAAGGCAGCCATGGATATGGGATATGAGCTACTCAATGAGAGCCGCACTTGGCTTTCCCCTCCATTTGACCTTGATGGCTCTGTGGTGGCGGCCAACAGCTCCAACCAGACAGAGCCGTACTATGATCTGACCAGCAACGCAGTCCTCACATTCATCTATTTTGTGGTCTGCATCATTGGATTGTGTGGCAACACACTTGTCATTTATGTCATCCTCCGCTATGCCAAGATGAAGACCATCACCAACATTTACATCCTCAACCTGGCCATCGCAGACGAGCTCTTCATGCTAGGTCTGCCCTTCCTGGCCATGCAGGTGGCTCTGGTCCACTGGCCCTTTGGCAAGGCCATTTGCCGGGTGGTCATGACTGTGGATGGCATCAATCAGTTCACCAGCATTTTCTGCTTGACGGTCATGAGCATAGATCGATACCTGGCTGTGGTCCACCCCATCAAGTCGGCCAAGTGGAGAAGACCCCGAACGGCCAAGATGATCAATGTGGCCGTGTGGGGAGTGTCCCTGCTGGTCATCTTGCCTATCATGATATATGCTGGGCTTCGGAGCAACCAGTGGGGAAGAAGCAGCTGTACCATCAACTGGCCAGGTGAATCTGGGGCATGGTACACGGGGTTCATTATCTACACCTTCATCTTGGGGTTCCTGGTGCCCCTCACCATCATCTGTCTTTGCTACCTGTTCATTATCATCAAGGTGAAGTCCTCTGGGATCCGAGTGGGTTCCTCCAAGAGGAAAAAGTCTGAGAAGAAGGTCACGCGGATGGTGTCCATAGTGGTGGCGGTGTTCATTTTCTGCTGGCTTCCCTTCTACATCTTCAATGTCTCCTCTGTCTCAGTGGCCATCAGTCCCACCCCAGCCCTTAAAGGCATGTTTGACTTTGTGGTGGTCCTCACCTATGCTAACAGCTGTGCCAACCCTATCCTGTATGCCTTCTTGTCTGACAACTTCAAGAAGAGCTTCCAGAATGTCCTCTGCTTGGTCAAGGTGAGCGGCACAGATGACGGGGAACGGAGTGACAGTAAACAGGACAAATCCCGGCTGAATGAGACCACGGAGACCCAGAGGACCCTCCTCAATGGAGACCTCCAGACCACTATCTGAACGGCTTGAAAAAGAAATAATACGCCAAGCTCTGCCAAGTGGCATGTGCTCCCTGCCCCCAACCCTCCCTTCCTCCCATCCGTCACACCTGGCTTCTAGAATAGGGAATTGCTCAGCATGAGTCCAATCAGAGAATAGTGTTTGAGTCAGCTTGTCTGAGTGAAAGATAATGTATTAAATTGGTGACACGCCCCCCTTCCCTTTAAAGTGAACATTTAAATGCAGGCAGACAATTCCAAGTCAGGAGAAGACGAGATCATGCCTGGGTGTGATCTGTAGAAATGGTGAAGCTCAACAAAAATAGAAAAGTATATCTGCGTGTTTAAAACCTAATATGTAACCTGTGGTCTTAACATTTATACTTATCTCTTCTACTACTCTCTAGCCCCTGTATAGTCATTACCTATGTTTCCTGTGTTCCAAAGTACACGAGTAGTAATCGAAGTGTGCCTAGTGTAGGTGGACGTTTATTCCAATATGGTACCCGCAGAAATGGACCTGCCACAAAGCCAATAAAGTTTAAGATTCAGGGATATCTCATGCTTGGGCAGTGTTTTCACATGACCACATGTTTTTTGAAAAAAAAATTGTAAAAAGAAGATATTTCTGTATTCTTTTTCTTAAAGAGGTCTCCTTAAAGCTTCCAGTCTCTCAAACCCACCTCTACCCCTGGGTATTGGCCTTCCTAATTTCAGGCAAGTTAGAGCAAAGTAAGAAGGGAGAGGGAGAAGGGAGTTGAGGGCCCAGAACATAAATTCATGTGTTTTCTCTTCTTCGATATAATCAAAGAATTATTCATTTCCTCAGAAGGACACATAAATGGTTCTGGTCGTCGATTATTGGATTTATCAAAACAAAGCCTGCTTTTTTATAAGATTGCATTTTTTTTCCTCCTTTATTTGTATTGGTTTTTCTTAGGGAGCCATGGAAGAGGAGAGTGGAGGAAATCACTGACACGAAAGGCAAAAAAAAAGGGACTGTGATTCTTGCAGGGAAAGCGTTTTTCCCCACCATGAAAATAAATGAGTAAGAATAAAGCAAAATGACATCTTTACAAGAAAGCATGAAATTCCTTTTTTTAAAAATGCCCGACATGGCTTCCTAATGAAAGAATGGAAATATAGTTCAATGACTCCTCTATTTTTTTTTAAGGAGTTGATAGAAATCTAGGCACTAAAATAAATATATAAATAAATAAATCACAGTGCATTAAAGACCTGAGGCCCCTGTTCCTAACACATGAGCCCGTGCACCAGCCCAGCACATAGCAGGTGCACAAGGAAGAATGTCAGAAGAAGTCCCGTCCCTCACAGGTACACCTGTACCACCTTCCTCGCCCAGTAGACACGCCAAATATCCACCTTTAATTCCACACTCTCTGAGCTATTCCTCATGCACAGTCATAACGGACAGGCACTTCACAGCATTGATGACATTTTTCTGTCCCTGAAATGTAGATGAGCTCACCGACAAATGGTAAGATGAGATGATGCCACTTTCACCGATCACCAGGGTCTGAACAAATACACACTCGTGTGTTTGTAGGGGGCGCCATCACCTCTGGGTTTCTCGGAAAGCCTCACTCTTAGTGTCTTGTATATAGGTTTTACCATAAAAATGAGCTCTCCTCTTCTGGCTCCCTGAGCAAGGGCCATTTGAATGAATGACAAGAGCTCCTCCGGTGACGGTCACTGTGAATGGGCTGCCTTCCTCCTGTCAATACTATTCTCACCACCTCTTTCCCAAAAGTACTTATTGTGGCCTAGAGAAGTGTGTTCGGTGATATTATGACAGATCAGTAAATCCATGCAAAAATTAAAAGAGGTACAATTAGAAGATGCGACTCTAAGCAAAGCCGTGGCCCAGACGTGCCCATGGTAAGATCTCCCACTACTTGTGGAGGAAAGGTCAGCTACAAGTTCCGCTGAGGACTTCCTAGCAGCCACAACAGACAGAAGGTTACTCCTCCTCCTCTCCCTCCTCCACCATAAAAACAAGCAAAAATTTGGAAGGAAATGCTTTAAGCCCAACATTACCATTACTAATAATATGAGATGTTCCAGGGTCTTTGAATAAAGGCTGATTTTTTTTTTCTTTAGGGAAGTGATTCCAAGGGACCAAGAACTGATGGAAATAATTTCAGGAAAGATGGACTAACCGTGTAGCCCTCAGGCCCCTGCAGTCAGACACTGCCTCCAAGGAGGCCATCTGAAGTCTTCAAACAGAATGCCTATCCAGGTTTAAGGTCAGGGCTCATCAGCACGATGGCTGTCCTAAGGGGCCTTTAAGACTGAAGCTGTACTTCTGCCCAAATCAGCAGGCAGATTGCTATGATACACTGTGCTCTGAATAGCAGATACGCTATGCTCTGAAAAGGAAATCTCCACTTTTTGAAATATCTCTTTCAGGGATAGCTGGCTCTCTGGTGGCTTTCATTCTTCCGAAAGAAAGAATAAACCTTTTAATTTCAACGTTAACACGATTTTAATTCTGAAATGTAAGCTGAGCCTCAACTCAACATTTAATTATGAACATAAATCTGCTGGATGCTGGGAGAGAACCAAAAAGCAAGGCCACTCGTTGATTTGAGGGCAGCTGAACATTCGGATAATGCGACCTACTCTGTAACATACCCATTAGCGCGGGTAGTCAAGAGCTAGTTGTATCTGGGTGAATGTGGCGAGAGAGGTATCAGGAGAGAGAATGGGATGCTGTGGCCCTTGAATGACGTTAGCTTGTGGTGGATATGGAACATGGAGTTGAAACTTTGGTGGAGTTCATGCCACGGGTTGGGACAGTCTAGGCGGACAAGCAGAGGGACACTGGGGGATAGGAGGACACTGCGTTTCCTTCCTTTGTTTTTGGAAGAAGAAAGAGGAGGAGGAGGCAGGAAGCAGAGGAGGAGGAGGGAGAGGACAAAGAGGAGGAGGAGGAGGAATCGTTACTCTTCGTTGGCTGTGGCTGCTAGGAAAGTCCTGAGCGGAACTTGCAGACGACCTCTTGTGACGTAAGAGTGTGGGATATTATGCACGTACTGTGGGGTCGCTTTTCCTGTAGTCTCATTTTAAAACTATACCTCTTTTTATTTCTGCATGGATTTATTTATCTATCACGAATGTATGCAGAGAAGAAAATGTGGGCTGGTGCGTGGGACTTCCAGAGCCGGCCGGGAACCGGAGTCTACTTGCTAACACAGATTTAACCTCCCCTCCGTGTCGGAATACAAGTGTTGATGGCTGGATGGGAGCCCCGTGCTGGAAAAGTGTACAGTCTGGTCGTTGAGAGAGGTAGGAAGGAACGTCTGTTGGGATACGTGTTCCTCATCAGCTCCCAGCGTGACTTTGCGTCAGGACCGCTGGGTTAGGACAGAAGGCAGAAGTGAACTTTGGCCTAGTTGAAGGAAGGAGGCAAGAGAATGACCGAAAGGCTCCATATTTGGTTGGGAAGGTCCCATTAGTCTTTCTGGACCATGTGGTCTCTAATATAAATCACCACAGGAGGCTAGCCAAGCATTTGAGCTTAGAAGTCATAATTTGTATTGGGCTACTTGTCTGATCCCCACATTTGCCGGATTCAAAAAATACCGAATTTCCTATCCAATGTTCTATCAGAACAAACCTTCACCTACACAGGTTGTCCCCCTTCTAATATGTGGATTTCTTGGAACATTCCCATAGGCAGAGTCTCATATTTTTTTTTCTAGCAGCTCATCTGGAAAGTTGGCCCCGGGGATTATATTCCACTTAACAGCTGAAAAGCTTCCGTGTGTCCATTACCCGAGTCAGCAGACCGTTAGGACTGGGAAAAGCAGCTCCAGGACAAGTGTTTGTGCCCCCGCCCAGCCGCCCCCTGGCCACCAGGCTTCCTTTAGCTCCTCAGTGACCAGACACAGCCTGATCAGCTAGTTTTCCCCCCTTAGATGTGTCAGGTTGTACGTATCTGGGCTGGGCTTCAAAACAGAGTTAAATATTAGCCAAGACTCCACCAAGCCGAACAGAAAGGTATTGATTTTAAAATGAATATCATATTAAATGGAACGCGGCGGCTCGCTCACCGGATTCCGTGGACATCTGCCTCCCAGTGGACGGAGATTTCCAGCACGAGACGGATCACACAGACCCAAGCTCAGTGGGTGGAGAGGAAGGGGGGATGCTTTCGCTTTTCACCCCTCTTCTTTCCTGGCATTACTGAGGGGACAGATGCAGGGGAGAAGAAGGCCTCTCTGCCAGGATACCGGTGTCCGGTGAAGGGAAGGTGGCTCCCTTCCGCCGCGGGGCCCGTGAGGACTGGTCAGACGTACAATGGGCCTCACCTCGTAGGAAAGCCTGTGGACGAGTGTGAGGCAAGATGTACTCTCAGAGAAACCTGAACTGGCGTCCCACAGCCTTGCCCACTCCCACTGTTCAGTGCCTGGGGCCTCCGGTCACTTAAGCCACAGAGCGGGTCCCTTGTAGGGCAGTCAGGAAAGAAAGGAAGCTGAGCTGTGGTCCCAGTCAGACAGCTTTAGGCCTGGACTCAGGGGAGACACCATCGTCCCAGGTCCTTACAAAGGTCAGATTGCAAAGCATCTAGAACAGGGGCCCAGAGGGAAAATGCTAGTCTCACGAGAGGACATCCAGGGTCAGCTCTACCGACCACCCGGCGACTCACCTCGGAGGAGCGGCAGTGCCACTCCTGGGCCGTGTTTTCCCCTCCTTCCTCGTGGATGGCTGGGGTACCAGTTCCCATGGAGGTTCCCGTCCCCAGGCGAGGGACAGTGGCCGTTACTGAGAGGGTGGGTAATTTTTCCTCCTGGGTATTATTTTTAGCAAGAAAGCTGAGTGATTCTCTTATTACCTAACCAACACTTTTTGGTTTTCTCAACATTCGCCAGCACCCTAGTTCTCAGGACAAAGGGCCATTCTCCTACGGCTCACTACGCTCTGTGCTCCCAAGCACATGCACCCCTCGCAACGCAGGGCACACACACCACGGGGCATACGCATGGCACACACATTCACGTGTGTGCATGGAACACGCCATGATGCACGTGTGCTCACACGCGATACGCCTTCTAGATCTTGTAGGTAAGACGTTTGATGCAGACATGCTCTGGTTTTCAGGGAAGGGACAGAACTATAATTTAATAACTCACTTGAAGTCTAGGGATATACACTCTTTCTTTTCCTTTTTCTTTTTTTCCTTTTTATGGAGAGGAGGACGTTGTGTATAAGCCAATTTTTCCCTCCAAATACCCCGTGCCTGATCATTGACTGCCTTTCTGAAGCCACCCTGCTCTGTCCCTGCGAATAACAGGCCACCTCAATTAAAAAAAAAAAAAAAAAAAAGAAAAGAAAAGAAAAAAAGGGTAGAGTTGGCAAAACTACAAATCATCCCAGCCAGTCACCCAACGGGAAGCACGCGTTTTGCTAACAGTCATAGTTTTGCATAAGAAAAAACACACAATTTCTTTGGAGAAAAATCACTCAAAATGATTTTCAAACGGTTCTCACTGAGGACAGGGCCTAACAGGGATTTCTTCTGGTCCCGTGCT